TCTATCCTTCAGTACAGTGTCTCTTTATTGTCACAAATGAAATACAACAAGCATGAAATCATGTCATGCTACCTCAACTAACTCAAGCCCATGATTAAGTAAACATTTAAACTATTTTCTCCCACTTCTGTTCTCACTATATCGTGTTACAATCATGACATTCTGAGACAAACCAAATCTTTCAAACCAATTTTAGAGGAATCGTTTTCTTTAAGTTGATCATGATATTGGCAGGAAAAAAAGGCTTTTAAAGACCCCAATATAAGCCAGACATTAGTAACCAGCATGGTACATGTGACCTCCAAATCTATCTGTCTTTCTATCTGCCTATCCATTTCACTTTCTTCCTGTTGACTTAAATTTTATTTGCGGGGCTTATTACTCCCTTCAATCAATCAATACTGATTAGAGTGCTCTCCAAATCTATGATTTAAGACACAAGCTAAGTTTGTCATCCAGAGTGTTAGTCAAAACAGTCCAGTTCCCATGGCTTGATGAAACAATCAAGTATCCAGAGATTATAAAAACCTGGAGGAAAGAAGCCATCTGAGGTGATCCTATTCATGCAGAGGGACCAGTGAATGAAGCGGTGAAGAAATTAGGAAGTCTCACAATATGTTGGAATTTCCAATCAAAAGATTTCAGATAACAACACCAAAATATTTTGAGATCTTGTGAGATTTCACAGCTGTTTTTCATGCCACGATTGGAGTATAAATATGGACTGGCTTTAGAAGTTTGAGAGTGGGGGGCTGCAGTTTTACAGTGATTCTGTAAGATTTATCTGAATGAAATATACTAACATATAAAATCCCAGTTAGTTAGCAGCATCTTGTCAAACATGATTGGTGTCATGAAGTTAAGCAGAGTCAAACCAGATTAGGGACCCAGTGCTGACAGCTAAACTGTGAAGTTGAAAAACATCTCTGAAGAAGGCATGGAAAACCACTTCATATTGTTTCCAAAAAAAAAAAACCCAAACAAACTATAAAGCTACAAGGAGACAAGGCTGACTTAACTTTTATCACAAGATGGGTAACAAATTCAATTTAAGATATGGTTGTGTTAAAATTGTAATATGTAGTTTCCAATACAACTTATTTCAATGTAAAATCTATTCCCCCCTCACATAAAATAATAAAAATATATACGATAATACATGACATTAAGCTTGATATGCATTCAAAGCCTTTATTAAAAAAATAAACCAAATGCTTTGCTTAATCTTTCCACCATTTGATAGTTTAGGTTTATACCAAGTTTGAAGGACAATCACTAAAAAAAGACAAAATAGGTAACAGTTTGCAATTATTTTAGGTCTGATAGATTTCAAAGAACATTAGACCATCCATGTGAACAACAGTCTCACTACCAATTAAATCTGATTCCTTCAAATTACCTCAAAACATATTTTATGAAGTTCAAAAGGTCTTTGTACACAAATTAAAACAATTATTAATTCCAAAATAATATACCTAATGCTGATGGCACCATATCCCCCCTAAAAGGATTAAATAGATTTGCTAGCAAGAGTTTAATGGTATAAAAATGTGTACTTCTTGAAGTCTCTGGAAAAAAAAAACTATACACAGCATAGCAATTTGTCATCTGAAGTAGGGATTTATCTGGAAGGGAGGGAAAAACTGTCTAGGTAGTTCAATCTGACAATGCAGTTGTATAACTAGTTTAATTACTTACTTTGTTACAGTGGAGCTCAACAACCATATAAAAAGTATAGGATATGTAAAAAAAAGAGGCAACAATCCAAATAGCAATGTTGACACCTCCTGCATTTGTATATGCCCAATGAGAATTTGAGATCTGTCATACAGAAATTATATCAATACATTGAAGAGGAACATTTCTCTATTTTAAGAACCATTTCCTAACTATTGTAGAAATGTGGAGTTGTCCTAGATATCACAAATCTATTTGCACAGCGACCTGGATTGCAGCCCTTGTACTAACTAGAACTAAAAAGAAGCCATTATATATTCAACTAAAGTATGACAAAGAACAAATATTAACTGTATAATAGAAAATAGATATATCTGGATATGAAGGAGTGCTTTTTAAAATGTTGATGTTTAAAATAGGTACTTACATCTACCAACTATTTTCAAATTACATGTTTTTACTGTCTTTATTGTTGTTTGTAAATCAGCTGGAGTTATGGTGTATGGACAGAGGTTTTTATCTATGTATATATAGAAAATTGTTTTTTTAATCAACAAAACATGTAAACATCCAGAATTGTTTTCTTACCAAGTACTTTGTAACAGCATTAACCAGGAAGCAGATATTTAGCAAAAGGAAAGCTGTTTTTAGAACGCTAGCCTATGAAATTATAGGCTGTATCTTATGCAATATGAACAAGTTAATGTCTCCTGGTCACAGCAGTTCGAAAACATGAAAACGCAAGTAGATAGATAGAGCATTTCCATGTACCTCGGTAAGTAGTCATGCTGGCCACATGACCAGGGAATTTTTTTCAGCAACACAGGAGCCCTTGGCTAAGAAACAAAGATGAGCACTGCCTCCTGGAGTCTGACACAACTGGACAGGGGAAACCTTTACCTTTACCCATAAACACATTTATTCATTCTTCCATTCAATCATGTCCAGTTCTCAGAGACTGCCTGGACAAGTCCATGCAGCTTTCTTGGCAAGGTTTTTTCAGAAGCAATCTACCATTGCCTTTTTTCTACAGCTATCAGAAAGTGACTTGTCCAAGGTCACCCAGCTAGCTTCATGCCCAAGGCATGAAGGTAGGACTAGAACACAATACCTCCAAGTTTCCTTAACCACTACACCAAAATAGTTCTTATATACCGTATATGTATGTAGGTATGTATGTGGGCATGAATGTGTGTGTGTGTGTAGATGATAGATAGATAGATAGATAGATAGATAGATAGATAGATAGATAGATAGATAGATAGATAGATAGATATAGATAGA